TCACGTGCACATCTACTGGTTGTCCTTTTTGTATTTAAAATTGTGTCGAAAACTGAGAACCTACCTTGATTTCATTTTGAACATATGTAAATGGAGCTTTGAATTGGTTTTTGGGGCCAAGTCGGACAGACGAAACAGCTAATAAAATATAACTAGAAGTAATAAATCAAAGAGACTTTTGCAAGGGTATTTATCAGTCTGAAGGCTACAAAATAAGAGTAAAATAATACTACTTTGAAATCATAATACGTATTTTGCTGATTTGCATTTCCTCTTTCAAACAGAAGGGTAAAATTTATGTTTCCCGCTATCTCATTAATGCCAGGAAAGTGTCAAATTTGTCTCTAGATTGGATTGAAGATTGTGGTGCTTTTATGAATAATCTCCGGCTTAAATTTGCTGTTTTCTGTGCATTACAAATAAAACATGCGTTTGTTTTCATCCCTAAGTAATTTTCCCTTTTTTTTTTGCTTATTTGTCTATTTTCTATTTATTCGTAACTTTCTTGTGACAGCAAATCAGCAAAAATTCCCAATGAAACTGTAAGTTAAATTTTTTTAGACGCCAAAACTAAACAAGTTTGCGAATTTTGACTTTAAATTACAACTAGATTTTAAAAACAGATTACAAGGTTATGACAAAAACCGGTAAACAGAGTAAGAAATGTTGGTAAACATTTTTTGTTGATAGAAATTAAATGAATTTGAAATTCAATGCATCTTTTTAAAGCCGCATTCAGGGAAACAGATTTCACTTCAAATGCAAATTTGAGCTTCGGGTTAAGGAAAAAAGCGAACATGTGATCAGACAACCCCAATTCTGGTAGCGTCTCTGGCTAAAATTTTGGTATGAAAGATGTAATCAAATTAGTGAGAACAAGATTTGCAGCACTACAAAAACAATTCATTAAGAAAGAATGAAATAGAATCCTAAGAAACCTAAAATTAATTTGGGTGTCTTTGATATCAAAAATGTTGAAATGGATTAGAAAAATTGAAAATTCAATCCGAAAAGGCAAAATATCCCCGAGCTATTAGATGAAAAATGAAATAATGAAATTAATGGTGAGCTTTTGTCAAACCGAGATACGATTTCCCATTTTCTTTGCCTTTTGTTCAATTTTTTAACAAAAATACAAGTATTTCTTTTTCCAGGAATGAATATAGCATCATGTCTTTAATCTATATACTTACTGTTGTGTTGGGTGGAAAGAGAGCCGACGGGACTTTAAGTCGAAATGACATCTGATCGAAATTTATGTAATTAGGTGATTGATAATGTTGATAAAATGAGTGTAAATTAGTTTTTTGACATTTACAAAGAGTTTGATCGATTACAATAATTGATTGGTACTAAAAGATGACTGGAACTTTTATCAGGCATTTAAATGAACCTGCCTTTGATTACAATGTATAAAATTCGAACTGAAAGTTTTATTTTTTATGTGTTTTGTAATAACATTCCATAACGTCCATGTATTTCTTATAAGCAATGGATCATATAAAGATAGCATATTAAATTTGAATAAATTCTCAATCTACGTGTTCTTGATTTTATGAAATTTCACATTTTTGAAAAAAAAATAGCCTGCAGTGCTTATTTTTTAAAAATCGGCTTGAAATCCCGTCGGCCTCATGTCCGGCACCTTTTCGTTATTTCACGCAGCTTTTTGTTTTATAATAAACAAAAAGTTTTGAAAGCAAATTGAGTGAATGCGAATAAGATTAACGCAATAAATTTTAGTAAAAGGGGGCGTTTAAAATGACAAAACTGGTAAAAATTCCAACTAGCATTCAAAACTTTGTTCTGTATTTCATCTTATTCAAATTTAGCGTGTGACAGAGCTGAATTAATAGTTTCCCGATAAGCCATAAATTTGCCGGTGAATTACATTGACCATGATAAAAAGCAAAATGCAAAAACAAACATCGATTTCGATTTCACACAGAATTATCCAGAAAATAATTCTTGCTCCGCAGCATTTACATTCAGTGCGAATAGTGTATTTTGCGTAAATTAGTATTTTTATGTGTTGTTTTTTGATATCGAAGGTGCTTCTTCTACTCGAGCCCTCACGGAATTGAGTTCACTCTGATTTGACAAAAATTGATCGTTATTCGTTGAAAATTATTTCATCGCGTCTCATATCTTTATTGCCATTTTATCTATATGCCGTTTATCGGTCCCCAAAACAATCTTTATAATGGCATCTTGTCGGAAAAAATACTACTAACTCGGCAAAATGAACTTATGAAACCAAAGGTTCTTATGCGCAACGCGTAGGAAGCAAAGAAACCCAGATTTTTTCTTTCAAATTAAATTCAGTTCACCAGCTGGGCCAGCATATAAACGCAAAGCAAATAAATTAGTTTGTGGGTTGTACTTAATTACGGGACTAAGAAACAACACTTGTTGATAGACTTCAATTTTTGTTAACCTTTAGGCAATTTTTTTTGCATAGAACTCTTAAAATAAACTGAAAAATGCAGCCTGATGGTTATGAAAACTTTTAACATCAATTCGACCATTTTTACTATATCTTATTATAACTGTTCCTTATGATATTTACATAATGTTGATTTTAAAAAATCCCAAAAATTTTGTTCAAATTTAGTTTGTGATAATCACTGTCTGTGTTTACACATGCAGAGCAAAAAGTATTCGTACGAAATTTCTTTTTTTTCCAATCTAATTCTCAAATAAAAGTGCTACTTTTGGTGGCACTTTTAAATCGTTAGACTGCGGTAGCAGTATAATATCATATAAGCTTTGACATTTGACTAGTAAAAATGTCACACATCTGATGCATTTTGAATTCATCAAATGAATCGAAAAAAATTATTCGTGTCAAAAAGTCGTACAATTATAAAAAGCTCGATTTCAGATATTTTCCAACTCATTTTATAATTTATACATAATTTGGCTCTAGGCTTTCAATTTATTACCTGCAAAATTGTGTCTTTTTGTATTTGCTGCTAATTTTGCTGCATCGAATTAGCAATTTATTAGCATATGTTGCTGCGTTATTATTGGCTAGTTTTTGAGGGTTTTAAGTTGAGTGGTTAGTGCGTGAAACGCATATTTGCTAGGTCTCAGTTTCGAATCCGACACGTATCTGAGTTTATGCTAATTCGAAGCTTCTTTCTTTTTTTTTCTTATTTCACTTGATGGAGCTGTTTTTTGGTGGTGTTCTCGCAATTGTTTGCAAGCGCAGGTTCGCCTCTCTATTAAACTTTTTAATTATCATATAAGAAAATCAGAGAGGGCGAAAAAAGAATATAGATTTCAACGAAAAAATTATATATTTCAATGAAAAAAATATAGATTTCGAAAGATATATGATGGTTTTAGTACCTGTTTGAATGTTTTTCATCTGCTGCATCAAAACCATTAAATAGTTCCAAAAATCATCGTCACCTTACCTTCAGTTTTTCAAATTTTAAAAAAATGTATATTGTGTAGTTTAAAAACTCGTTGGCGCAAAAATTTTGAAGAAAAAAGAAATTTTTTTTAAGCTTTGAGTGATTTTGTTTTTCGCAACATTTTTGACTTCTCAAATAACCATTTCTTCTATTTTTCTATTTTTTTAAACATATATTGAGATCTGATTTATGCTAAATTATCGTGCGTGATCCATAGTTAAACGATATATGTTTTCGAAATCGAAATAAAGATCAGCTAGCCGACAGACGACCAATCAATAATAATAATTCGAAGTTTGCTTGTTTCAAGCCTCACTTGGCTTTCATAGGTTTTTTAACATAAATTTGAGAAGAAAAAAAATTAAAAGTAGTACCAAGATTAGCGTTAGAATAAGATTGTGCAGGAACTTATCAGGCTGAAAGTAGATAGCGTGTTTTTAATAGTGAAAACTACTCAACGAGATAAGACTGTCGGTCATAACACATCTTGAGTTAATCATTAAACAAAAGTGCTCGTATCAGGGCCATGCCCTAAATGTTCCGACTGCCTTTTAAGGTCTATGGAGCAGTAATAACTTGAATAAATTAAATGTAATAGAATAAAATGTTTTAAATTTTTTTTTGAGGTTTTGTAAAACCCCACACGCCATATAAAGTACAAAGGGATAGATTTCGCCCCTAGTAACAAACCAATTATGGAAAAAAAGCTTCCTTCAACCCATTTGGAACAATTTCTAAGACGAATTGAATCTCCGCTTACGCGTGAATAGCGCGAAACTTATCGCGCGTTAATTGTCCTAAATTGGCCAAAATTGAAATTTTTAAACCCCCATAACTGTACAGAAAATGATCACAGGTGAAATAAATTTTCAAACTTACGCTCAAGATATCAATACTTTTTGAAGGACATACAAAAATTCCTTCAAAAAGGGCCAATTGAAAAAGTCGAAATTTGTCTGAAGAAAAGGACCACCCCGAGCACAAATATTCCGTTACTTTCGTTACGAAAAGCGGAACAATAAATTATTTCTTTTTGTATTAGTTTTAAAATGGGTTTTTCAATATATAATTTAATAATTCAAATATATTGAGCCATCCCTCGTGCTCAGCAGTGATTTGCCGTAAACTATAATAAAAACTATGATTAGAAAGTTGTAATCCATTTTGTCAAATTTAATGATTTTTATTCTAGTTTTCAACGCTGGGTTCTATTTTTTGCTCAACATGAGCAGTGAATCATTTAAATTGAACAACAGGGGCAGATTTAGAAGAGATATGCCCCCCTCTGGGAATCAAAAACCCCCTGCGACCATTTTGGCGCCAATTTATCTTAATTGTGAGGTCAAAGCGCACGCCAAAAAACGCGCAATTTTTTTATTGCAATTTGGCTTTTATAGTGATTAAGAGCTCAGAAAATTACCGTTGAGAAAATCTGTCCTCTTCCTCGAGAAAATCCTAGATCCGCCCCTGCTTGACATTTCTTACTCTTTAATAGTGTGCATATAGTGTATACATTCCTTGATTGCAATTTTTTTTCACATGAATTTTTGCTTGAAATATAATTTTTGTCTTGTTTAGGTGGACTTCGGAAACATTGACTTTGCGGATGCTGGTAAGTTTATGAACTAACTCATAAAATAAACCGAAGGTTACAAGGTGTTATAGTGGTTATAAGCTATAGCGCAATCCCCCCCTTTGCTCCCCCTCAGAGATTCGACGTACTATTTTGAGATATCCATTTTTGGCTGAACGACCCTAAATTTTTTCTAATGGTGAAAAATGCAAATAATAAAACAAGCTTTTTCATATCTTATATTTCAAAACACAGAAATTATGAACTTAGCTATGAATTTTATTGGATGCTTAGATACAAATCAGTAGCTGATAGGGGGGGGGGGGAGGGAGAGGGGAGGGGGTGGAGGTCACCCTCCTTCCTCAGGGATTCGACCTTCTGCTCCCTTTGTACTATTTTGAGATATCCATTTTTGGCTGGCTGACCCTTAAACTTTTTCCAAAGGCTCCTTTGGCGCCAGTATATACTGATCTTGAGAGGAGATTTTTTGGTCGAAACTGTCAAAAAGTGCCTAAAACCGCGTTTTTTCGGCCTGTTTTTTCAAAAATTTGCCTGTGGCGCACAAAATGAGGCAAAAAAGCTAGTGATTTCGAAGAGCTCAGAAAATCAAAATCAATTAAGTCAACGAAAGTCGAATCCCCCCTCCACCCCCCCGCTCGAGAAAATCCTAGATCCGCATACAGCTAGTTTATTGCATGTAACTTTCCCTAACAATTTACAAGTAACAATGTACAATTATGTTAATAAAAACTATTCAAGTATTACAAGTAAATAATTGAGTTTTGCCGATTTTTAAGATCGCAACAGAAAGTCTTCGATTCAAGTGTTCTTCTTCAAAACAACACTGGGTTTGAACACCAACAGAATCATAACCTAGTTTATAAGAACTAACTAATCATCACCGGTGGTAACACCTTGCACCGTGGATTATTCAGAGACTGGTTTGATAATCATCCCTATTTATCATAAACTGCGTATCATAATTTTGGTGTTCAATCCGAAAAATAAATTTCAATTGAGTCGTAAAAAAATAACAAACTGTTAAACTTTCGAATCATTGTAGCAAACTGCACATTTGTCGTTCATGAATTTACCTAGCCTATAAAATTTGCCATAAAATCATGTAAATTAGTGGTTCGCCGTGAAAAGCTGCGCAGCTCGTGTGTTGGTCCTGTCCCTTGTAGATAGTGAGTTAAGACCGATGGGTATAACTCATAGAGTAATTTCGGATAGGGTACACCGTCTGCTCGTCACGCTATCTTATTTTCGGCCGGATAGATTCGTGCAACTTCTTAGTCTAATACCGATCCTAGTCTTACTCTTATACTATCTAGTCTCAGGTTGTTTAACTAGTCTCTGCTAGGCTCAATAGATCTAGGGTATACTGGTTTATTGCGGCTGCTGAAGTGCTCGGGAGAGTCCAACTAATTTCTAAGTTAAATTCAAATCTCTCTGGTGCTGAAATTACAAGTAACTTCAGCACTTACAAATAAGTGGGTTGTTAGTTAGATGGGTCATGATTGGTTAATATTAAATACTTTACATTGGTAAAACATTTAATTTATCCAATCATAAAATATAGTTTAGATCAGGTTCCACCCATCCGGGTTTTACAGAGTTTTTTAGAACAGTTCTTCTGTAATTCAAGGATGGATGATGGACGTTGGTATTTGGTGAACATCATAATTTTCTTCCGCTTCTTCTTTGTTAAGGGAGTTTCAGGAAGCTGGAGTTAGGGACATAAGACGTTGTGTTCTTCTTGTGACAACGACTGAGTCTCTGCAACAAAATCAATTCTGATTTCAGAATGGTTGGCTATGTCAGGTTTTTCTGTTCTTCGGGGAGAACTTCTTTTGTGTCTGATCTAGCTTGGGAATGGCGTGGAGATTGTGCGTGGAGGGGATGCCTGGTTACTCGGATCTGTACGTACACTTGGGTCATCGAGGTGGTCATTGGTCTGGTTCAATGAAGTCCTTTTCTGCGAGGTCAAGTCGTACTCTAAATCCTTTGAGTTGTGATTGTGAGCGGCATATTGATTGTAGTTGGTCATTCTCTCTCGAGTGTGGTGGGGTCGTTTTGTCTTTTGATGTTCGTCCTTGGTGTTGTATTCTGATCTATGTATTGTATCATGTGATTTTACATTTTATAAAACTTTTATTAGTTTAATATTTTTTAATTATGATTTTAGTTAGTTGTTTTCACAAAAGCTTTTTGTTTTAGTTCTGTTATTTTGAAGAGTTACTCACACTTGAGTAGCTCTTATTAAAAATAGAGGTGTGGTCACAAAGCGTGGATGTAGCACGGTGGGTTAGGCCGGCTATAGAGCATGCTCAGGACGTCCTTCCTGGTGGGTTAGGCCAGGAGTGGGAGTATGATTTCATGCGGTTTTTGTGAGGGGTCCTGTTATGTGACAACGTTTTATGTTGGGTTTGTTGTGGTTTTTCTTATGTTTTGTTGGTTGTGTCCTTTTTTCAAAAATCAAATTGTTTGTGGTATGGGTTTGTCTTTCGACTTTTTTGTGTTTTATTATTTCTTTCTTAGACTTTATAATAGTCTTCAAAAGAATAAATTATCCAGTTTTAAACTGGGTTAATCCGGTTTGGGTACCGTTGGTTTCCTTTTCTTAGTCATGCTGTTATTCTATGATTTGTGGTATTTAGTAAGCTGCGTTGGTTAGTTTTGTTTAGTATATGATTCCTTTCCAACCGGGTTAAAGGAAAGTTTGAAACATGTTATTATATGTTAGAGTTGTTGAGTGTGAAAACTTGAAACTGAAATTCATTATTTTAAACAATTCTTCGTGGGCGAGCTGTGCGAGTGTGGATAGAATTTCTGTGCGAATGAATGAAAATATCAAAAGGTTAGTACTGCAATTGCATTTTATTAATTTACTGCATAGAATTTGGAAATTTACTGCTAGTTATGGGGGAATTTTAAGATACAAATTTTCATTATAATTAGATTTACTGCTTGTGGGGAAAATTTTAGAAATGAATTTACTGCATTGGTATTAAATTTATAAATTTATAAGTGTAAGAGATTAATAGAATTTTTGAAATCTGTTTGATGAAATTTGCGATTTTTATTTTTCTTTTGTGGTTTTTGTAGGTGATCGTCGGATGAAGGCTAAAAATCTAAAGAAAACATGAATAAAGTATGGTAAGTTTTTAATATTTCAATTAGTTAGTTATATTCATTTAATTCATACTTACCTGTTAGTCGTCGGGGAAAAAACCGTGGGGGAAGATGTCGTGAATTAGTTCTGAAGTTGTTAGTAGTTTAGCTAAGATGCGGATGATATTTTTAGTCTGAAGCAGTGGCCAAAGCAATTGAAGTGCCTTAATAGTGGTTAGTTCTTCAGTGCCAACTGCAAACTCATAAGGTGTGTTTTGGATTAGATTATATAATTTGTGATTGAATTTAGTGTTGTGGATGAATTCTAAAATTGGGATTTCTATAGGTTGTACAAACTCGTGCGGGATAAGGAAGGGTCGGGATTCTTCGGCGTTGAAGGTCTTGGTGATGGGACAGAAGATGTACATTTGGGTTATGGGGTCATAATTACGAAGAATACCATGAAGGTTAGTATCTTTAATGCAATATGTGAAGTTTAGGAAAAATGGTGAAGTGTATTTGGAATTTATGAATTGAAAGCGATGGTGTGGTTGTCTAGAGGGTGTGTGTAGGTCAAAGTGATTTTGGATGAAGCGATAATAACTATATGTGTGGGTTTGTTTAGTGCGCAACATAATATCGTGTGAGCAGTGTAAATCTCTTTCGTGTGGTGCAAGGAAATGAAAGGTTAGTGAAAATATTTGGAAGCGTTCTTTAAAACTTTCGTATGCTTGTGTGTCTGTTAGTGCTTCTGAAATAATGTGGTCAAACTTGCGATCGAAGATATTTAGTGTAAATACATATGGTGTTTTAATGAAAAATTTCTCGGTGATTTGTGGATTAGCGAAACGATCGTCGTCTAAGAATTGATCTTGGTTAGCTCTGATGATGTTGTGATCATAGTATTCGAGTGTATATTCGTTAGCTCTAGGTGCAGTGTGTGTTTTTAGTGATTTTTTATATCCAACGTAAGTAAATTGTCTAGCGGTTAGTGGTGTAGTGAGTCGATATAGCATGTCCGTATTTCGCTCTATATCGATGTGAGTGTTAGATAAAGGTAAGCAAAGAGGGTTAGTAAAATGATAATATGAGGTCCAAGAGAGAGTGGGCATTAAAACGTATTCGTCTACAAAGTTGCGTGTTTCGTTAGTGTCGTGGGGGGTGTTTAAGGTGTATTGTGGGAATGAGGGTAAGGTGATGGCTAAAAATTCTTTTGTGTTAGTATGCTTGGGGTGGTTGATGTATTCACGGGCTGTTCCTGGTTTTGCTGGGAAAGGATGGTTGGGGAACTTTCTTTTAAAAGTGCGGTAAGCTCTATTAGTGTTGAGTGAGGATTCAGTTGATGTGGATGATGGTGCTAATGATTCAGTATAATTTGAAGAGGGTGTAGGGGTAGGGGGGTTGGATGAATTTATAGTGGAGGAGATTTGGTTTATGGTTGGGGTATTAAGGTGGTAGGGTTGTTGTTGAAGGGTAATAAAATTGTCTAGCTCTGGGGAGATTCGGGGGGTGTCTGGAGAATGAGATGATTGGTCAGAATGGTATGAGGAGTAGGTTGGGGTAACTTGGGAAGCATAAGAGGGTGTGGGAGTGATGGGGTCAGGGTTATTGGATAATATGGGTTGAAAAGGGGGTTGAGAAAAATTAGAAGAGTTATGAAAATTATTGGATGGGGATGGTTCTGAGTCGGCAAATTCATCGGGGGTTTCAATATTCGGGTTATTGAGTTGTGAGATGGAATATAAAACTGAGGTGTGTGAATTAGTGTCGGAATTCATGCCTGATGTTACATTACTAGATGGAAAGTCGGGTGGCGGAAAAGCAAAAAGTGGTATTATTGGGATTGGAGAGGTAAGATTGGTTGGGTGGGAATTTGATCGGTGTAGTGATCCAAGTTGGCGGCTCATCGTGGGCTAAAAAAATGA